GAGAAAGCAAAAAAAAATTTTTTTTTTTTATACTAACAAGAAAATTAGAACACTAAACAAGAAAATATGAAAATTCATATGTAAAAGGGAAATTTGAAGCAGATAATCAAAAGAAAAATTACTGTTACAGGAAACGGAAACTAGGTTGACAGTACGAATGTCAAAAAAGAGAAAAGTCAAATTTTGGCGTATGACAACCACGTGGGAGAATTTGAATAAGCTAAAAAATTTAATAAGATGCGAATGGGCAAAAATTAATGGAAAGAAATCTAAATTGGGAGAGTTAATTGTGGTAAGTAACTGACTGAAGATCAAATGAGTGGGGGTAAAAGTTTGAAAATAATTTAAATAAGCGCAGAGAACGTTGGGGTACTAGTAAATTGAATTTGTGCATTCAGAGAGCAGGAGGGGCCAGATTTTAAATAAAAAAAAAAATATTAAATCTGGCCCCTCCTGCTCTCTGAATGCACAAATTCAATTTACTAGTACCCCAACGTTCTCTGCGCTTATTTAAATTATTTTCAGACTTTTACCCCCACTCATTTGATCTTCAGTCAGTTACTTACCACAATTAACTCTCCCAATTTAGATTTATTTCCATTAATTTTTTCCCATTCGCATCTTATTAAATTTTTTAGCTTATTCAAATTCTCCCACGTGGTTGTCATACGCCAAAATTTGACTTTTCTCTTTTTTGACATTCGTACTGTCAACCTAGTTTCCGTTTCCTGTAACAGTAATTTTTCTTTTGATTATCTGCTTCAAATTTCCCTTTTACATATGAATTTTCATATTTTCTTGTTTAGTGTTCTAATTTTCTTGTTAGTATAAAACAAAAAAAATTTTTTTTGCTTTCTCATTCTCAGTTTAATATATTTTACTTTCAATAAATTTTGTCACCGCCACCTATACTCACTTTCAGTAAATAACACCTTCGTTAGTACACTATTTATCCGCTAATTTAAAATTTACAGTTTACTGCATTAATTATTTTATTCAAACAGACATCTGGTGGTTTAACCTAACCTACATTAAAATTTTTTTAAAAAATACTTATTACACATGACTTTTTTAACTCGTTCTGTTAAACTTTTTGTAGCGCTTCCTTTATGGAATTAGTCAAGGTGAGTCAAGGTTATTGTTTAACTTTCTTTTGTGTTTTTTCTGTTATTTTGTATATGTTAAAGTCCGTTCATGCTTTTATAATTGTTTTTATTACAACTGACTCCTTGACATTCCATTTAGGTGTGCCTGATGATGAAGTGACAACTTCGAAACCGGTCGCCAATTAAATTGACTTGTGAGAAATAAAGGACCTTTTCTTTAACCCTTACACTTATGGTGCGTTTGATTTGATCATCGGAGATCTCCGAGCGCATCAAAAGTGTTTGAATTGACACTCCGAGAGATCCCTAAAGTGTTTGTTTCGCTTTGGAGCGAGAACATAGAGCGAGCTCGATGTTCTCAGAGCAGAAAGATCGAGAAGAGGGAGAAATTTGTCTTTGTCTCTACCTATCTCTTTTTAATTAACTTACAAACAAATTTGAAACTCAAAATTAAAGACCAGACAAGAAGTCAACAAATTACTTAGCCGCTTTTGTCTTATAGCTAAAATTATTCATCATAAAAAAACACAAAATGTGTGTTTTGGAAAATACATTTTTTCTGTCCAGATCTAATCACCAGTAATCACAGTCATGGAGTATGAGAGCGAAGCGGGCATTTGTGGTAAATGCTGCACATCAGGGCCATTACCCCTTATTATTAAAAGTTTTTCTATTTTCTTTACTTTTTGCTCACTATTTTAACATACAATCCAGAAACAAGAATCACAGAAAAGCGAGGTTATGTTTTTTACTCTGTTTTATTTGATTTGATTCAATGCTCTATTGTGACGTCATCACTTCTCGGTCTCCTCGACGCTCGCTCGATCGAGTTTCAAATCAAACGCCCCTTTAATAGAATTTAAGAGACTGAAAACTGTCATAATAATATAGGCGTTGTTTGGTGTTGCTAACGCGATGCTAAGGAGTGATACAAATATTGTTTAGTGTTGCTACCAAAAGTAAATAATGACGTCATTTACCGCAAGGGAAAAGCCTATTTTCGGTACGCCAAATAGACGTGTAAAGATAGTGTTTTCAGAGAGGTATGATAAAAAATTATTTTTTTGGGTATATTTTAAATGAGCACGAACATAATTATTGAGCCACAACATTAAGTGACCAAGTTTTGTACTCTGTCTTCAAAATAATATTTGGCCACCAAAAGTAATTAATGAGCACCAAAAAACCTCAAACAGAAATAGAATTTATGAGCTCCTGAAATATTAGCAAAGTTGGCAAAAATAATAAAGCCTAATCTAAAGTAATACATTAACACCAAAAATATTAAATAATCTCCAAAATGAATGTATGATATCCAATAAAAGTCTATGAGCTTAAAGATAAATTAAATGAAAACCCAAATTAAACAATGTTTCTTAAGAATTATCAGTTCACACCAAATATACTATACAAATCCCAAAATAATGATCGGGAATAATATGTGAGCACCAAAAAATAAGACCAGGTTGTCAACCTGTGTACGACATGACACCCTCCCAGAATGTAATAGAAGTTGTCTTCTTGTTTTAGTTTTAGTGCTTGATGTATAATTTTTTATGCCTGTGTTCTTGGGACTCAAATATATTATTGTGATGCCGATTCTTGTTTATTTTGGTTCTTATATATTTAATGTTCAAGTAAGATTTTTGGTGGCATACGACAAATATTTGGAGATCATATCAATATTACTTTGGTGCTCGATTAAATACAACCAGATTTTTTTTATATCAGGCAATACTATTTTCGTTGCTCTTTTGATTGATCCAGTCAAATTTCTGTGTGATCTTAAAAACTACCACAATTTTTATACGTCGATATACCAATAACTAGCTTTTCTTACTCATCGGATTTTCACTCTTACCCCTCGATATATTTAAATAAAGTGGTGGAAAGTTTTCGGGTGTAGGACAAAATAAAACTCCTTATAATAAAAAGACGTTTCGACGGTCTTTATCAAGCTGTAACAAACCATATTACAAAGTTTTGTGCTGATGTTGAAGCACATAAAAATATAATTTCATAACCAACTTTTTAAAATATTGCAATACATTATTTCCATAAATTAGAAAATTAATGTAAATATTGTTTTGGTAAACATTTAATTCTCTTGCAAAGTATCATGTACCACAGCTTGATGGTACACCCCACTTTTTTTCCACATTTTTTGAAATAGAATTTTAAAATTCGGGACGTCAATTGTCATAGTAAATACTAATTTTTCACGTTAAAACTAATTTTTTTCAACTTTCCGTTTTACCGGAATGACATCAGCCTATGATTTCTATATGGGACACCCTGTATAATATTACATTTTAGAAATACTCTCGACGAACGGATTTCAATGATGTATCACGCTTGATGTCTATTATGTCCAGTAAATAATCTACAGCCACTTAAAAATAACACTATTCTGAATTTGGATTGCTGCAGTAGCCAAACGGTTGAGAATCGAGAAATAGTATATTACACACCGAGGTGGGAAGAGTTTCATTCCTGTCGTGAGATTAGTTAGATCACCGAGACGCGAAGCGTCGAGGTTAGCTATGATCTCGAGACAGGAATGAAACTTCCTACTGAGGTTTGTATACTATTTTATTTACAACCATCATATTTCGATCAAAGTTAATAAATCTCTGTTTTGTTCTGAACATACCTAAAATATTCAATTTAACGACAAATTACCAAGCGCGCGGTTTTCTCAGAATAATCAAGTAGGTAAATATATTGTTACTGTGATTACGGGGTAAACAACTGTCACCAATATAAATAAATGTCAGATAAAGCCGGATATTAAATTCGCGAATAATAAATATCAATAAGTAGTGTTATATTTTAGATCATTGTTGTTTTTTATTGTTTGCCATTAAATAGGTATTATAAAATTTGTCAAACACTGTAATTTTTTTTTAAATATAAAAAATATTCATCTAGAATAGATGAAATGAGTGCGGGAAGTGAGGGCGGGGAGTAGAGGTGTGTAATGTGACACTTCCCAACCTTCAATGACATTAGTAATGATAACATTACATATATGGTTGTAAATAAAACGGCTTACATGTCTCGATCCTAACTTGTTGAGAAGTTTACAGTAGCATATAAAAATATTTGATACAGGGTGATAAAAATTCATCACCCTGTACCAAATAATTTATATGCCACTGTATACATCTTACAAAATTAGGATAGGGACATGTAAGCCTTTTACTCGATTCTCAACCATTGGGCTACTTCAGCAATCCAATATCAGAAAAATGTTATTTTTAGGTGGCTGTCTTGCCTGTACATAATGGACATCAAGTGTGATACATCACTGTAATCCGCTCGTCGAGAAGATTTTAAAAAATGTAATATTATACATGGTGTCCCATTTAAAAATCAAAGGCTGATGATATTTCTGGTAAAACCGGAAGTTGAAAAAAATTAGTTTTTACATGAAAAATTGGTATTTACTGTAATGTCCCGAATTTGAAAATTCTATTTTAAAAAATGTGGAAAAAAGTCGGGTGTACCATCTAGCTGTGGCACACGGTATATGGTGTCTGTTTCTTAAGATATACTTAAATACTTTTTCCATTGGTCTATATATATTTTTTTTCTTAGCTCTTATAGAAACCAACTTTGTCACTTTATTAAAAAATATCCTTATCGAATTATTTAGCCCTAAAGCACCTTGGGAGGATTCCGCTTAACTGTCACCAACTCGCGAAACGTCTTGGATGCAGTGAACAGTCATGTCCTATACAATGCGGAGGCCACTTGAAAATGATATTACTATACAAATGCAACTAACTAGTCGAACTCAATTTATTTGATCCATTTTCTTAAAAACCTTATGAACAAAGTTATTGACCTTGTTTAAAGCAAAGCTATTTATAGAATGATTTAATATTTTAGAGTGTATGTCCCCAGAAGGTGGTTTAAAAATATACGACGTAGCGTTATAGATGGCAGCACTAAGCAAAGAGAGATAGTGGCCTCCTAGTGATTCTAAGAGAACGGTTCTTTAACACCTAATTTAACACTTACGATTTCCGGTTCTATGGGAACTTTACTATAAACTAGGTACAGTTCGAATCAGCGAGACGAGACGAGTCGATTGCAATAGAAAAAACCTTAAGCGGACACAGAAATGTCCCCACAATTCATGAACGTCCGTACAAGGCTAGCTATAGGTCGATGCATGTCCTCCTAAGAATGAGCGCACCAACTCTCTCTCTCACACACACACACACACACACACACACACACGCACGCACGCACGCACGCACACACACACACACACACTTCGTTCAAATATTCCGTGACAATGCGGACGGCATGAGGGCGTGCATTGTCTTGCCTCAGTATGAAGTTGTCACCAATAAATGATGCATATTGGACAACATATAATTGTAAGATCTCATTTTTGTACCTATCCGCAGTCACAGATCCCCTAGGGGCCATGTACAATTCTGTACGCGCCTCCGAAGATATGTCAGCCCACACCATAACTGAACCTCCTTGAAAAGTTACCCTAGGGCTAAAAGTATACTCGGCATATCATTCACTTCCTTCTCTAGACTCTTTTGCGACCATCTGGTGGTTATAAGCAAAATCTGGATTCATCGGTAAAAAACACAAAGCTCCAGTCGTCAGCATTCCAATTTTGATGCTCACTGGGAATTGTAATCTGGCTACACGATGCTCTCTGGAAAGTTCTGATCCTATAGCGGGTCTTCGAGATCTCAGATTAGCTTCATTTAACCTTCTTCTTACTGTTCGTTCACTAACATTTACGTTCCTGACATGTTCAAAGTTATTTCTAATCTCTATCTCTAATCAGTTGTGTGACGATTTCATAGTGTTGAAGATATCATAAAACAGTCATCTCGATGAGTAGTTCTTCTCTAAGGACCGGTTCTAGGACGTCGAGTATAAAGTCCCGTTTCTATAAAACGTGTAAATACACGTTGCAAGGTACTGCGTGATACCCCGAATCTGTTAGCCACGTAAATTTGACTTCTTCCGTCTTGAATAAGAGCAACAATAGTGCAACTGTTTCTGCGCTTAAAGACATCTTAAAATTCGCAATAATTGACATAATCAAGTATTAAACTATAGAACATAATAAACACGTAACTTAGCATTTGATTTCATCATGAAAATCATTGAAAATGCATAGCCTACTTGAACACTAAAGTAAGTGCAATATGATAACTTTTGCATTGAGATTTTAGTTCAATATCAGGAATATATTTAAAAGGCATTTTCATGTTAAAAAATCTTACTAAACCGTGTTCTCTGTTGTCCAAATGATAAAAATGGAATTAAAAAACAAATTAAAAAATTAATGCATTTTTATAAAAAATTATCGAGGTGCCCGTTTTCCGTGCCGGTGAGTGTATTAAGGTAAAATCACATGCACAACTTGAGAAATAATTTAAAACCACTCACCTCTATTTCAAGATGGACTCGCAATTATAACTTTACTTTAAAGAAGTTTCTTGTATATTATTTAAAATAAATAAACGTTTCCTCAACATTTGTTGCCATCATTTAAAATCTCAAAATACCAAGATGTAGGCTACCAGTTTAACATTTTGGAAAAATGTGTTGCCTAACCTAGAAGTAATTGCATCAAAATGACCGCGTCTTATGTTGGGCTTGTCGGACGTCTCTCTTGCACCGTATAGTAATCAAGGTATGTGGAATTGAGGGACAAAACTGAATGCTCTATGACAATTTGACGTTTTTTAAAAACATATTTTATAAAAGTGAAGATGAAAAATTGTACAAAATGGAAAAAATTGACAAACAGCCATTTTTTTGAGCAACGAATAATTGTTGCTAAATTTTTCTTGCTGTACTCTTATGTACTCTAAGAAATAGCCGATAGTAAGCATGATTCCGATGCAAAAAATCGTATAGTTAACAGAACCCTGACTCATAGATAGAAATAGTAGACTGATGACTTTAGCAGTTAAAGCATTATTTCTAGATTAAAAAATAATGATATAATAAATTTTATTATCGAATTTTGAATTCATTAAATAGATAGCAATGTCACCATCGTCTTCATTTCGAACAAAATATACAAAAATTGTAAAATATCCTTATATTACGTCAATGTCAAAACATTAATCTTAGTTTAAACCACTGATCTGTGGTTTAAACGCCCAACTTTGACGGTTCAATTTTTCGGATAATTTAAATTAAGTTCAGACGTGAACTACATTTGAAATACACCATCTTTCAATTAAACTCAGTTAATTTACTGAACTCAGTTTAAACTTTGATTAAAAAACTTGTCGAATTATTTTAGCGACGCAACATCTAAAAGGTTTTGTTTATGATTTAAATTGAAGAAATATTTGGACGATGGTTTTTTGATTTAAAGAATGATTAAGAATTATTAATAGGTTATATGAAGAAGATATGCTGATTTGATGTAATATTAACGTCTTGAGGTTCCAAAAAGTACCCTTGAAGACCTTTCATCATAGACGAGACCTATTCTACCCCCTTAAAAAAGCCCTACCTCATTGAGATAAGTTCCTTATTTTTTGTACTTAATACTAAGTAAAAATAGATAAATTCGAAAGTCATTTTTTTATTAGAAATTTTTGCAGATTAGTCCAATTAAATAGACCTTTAAATCAAAATTTTGGAGGAAATACAGGAATATTTAATATAAGTTACTTTAGAGTATTTGAAAACAATAGGTAACAAAATTTAGTTTTTCAGGCCCCGGCAAATGGCGAAAAATAAGAAAAAAGAGTGTTTTTTAAGGTTATTTAAAAACGGTAGGTGCTATAAAAAAGTTCGTAACAAAAATTACAAAGCATGAAGTTTTACATAAAAATGATTTTAGGCATTTTTTGCAATTATTAAAACTAACAGAGTTAGGGGGGTGTTTAGAAGTTAAGAGGAGATACATATAAGCTGAAAATTAAATGATTTATTGTTGTTACACAGGTTTATTATTGTTACACAGGTTTTTGGTATCACAATTTATTTCAACTGAACTTTAACAATAACAATGCAACTGATAACATTAACGTATAACATCTAACACAAAACTCAAACCCGTTCAAAACCGTTTTGAAATAACCTTAAAAAAACACTTTATTTTCTTGTTTTTCGCCATTTGCAGGAGCCTGAAAAACAAAATTTTGTTACCTATTGTTTTGAAATACTCTAAAGTAACTTATATCAAAAATTCCTGTATTTTTTCCAAAATTTTGATTTAAAGGTCTATTTAATTGGACTAGATTAGAATTTGGTTTTCCCGTGTCTATTGAAGGCAAATCCTTTATTTTTCATTTAAATTTAATAGTAATTTTTGATTCCGTATTTTCATCAATTACTTTTTTACGTAGAAATATGTAAATTTAAATACGGTGGCGTCCAGTTTCTAATTACAGAGTAACTAAGTTATTATATCCAAGTGGCCTCCATATAATGGGCCTTAGTAATGAGCAACAATCACTTAAATTGTAAAAATACCATCAGGGGTTATAAACATTGACACCCTCATTACAACATTCATGTAGTAGTTATGCAATTATATAACATGTGAATTTGTTGATGTCCAATAATACTCATTTTTTTAATTACAATTTTAGCCATTCACAAAAACAATAATACTGGACTGTAACAAGTAAAAGAATAATCTAATGGTACACACACAATTTTATTAAAAAATTTATTTACAAGTTAAAAGTTGAGTAAAAAGTTTTTTGTTTAAATATAATTTCAATTAAATAATTTCGTCAATATTTTAATACGTAAAAAAATTATGTTCTTTTATAAACACAATTACAGTCCTTAACCTCTCATTCAGAAGATTGGTATTTTTTATTTTAAAATGTAAAGAATCTAAAAAAGCTTCTCCTTCTGCTAATTGGGAAAAATCTGGAGCTTCATCAGAATCGCATATCATTATCCTCATTATTACAAAAGAGATAAACATTCCATACAACATGTAACGATTGACGTGTTTTTCAAACCTGAAAAATAATAAATTTTTGAAAAATTAGCATTTTTGTACGAATTTTTCTAATAAAAAAAAATTTTAATCAGAAATACAAAATAATATTTATTATTATTATTAAATTACAATTAAGGTAAAGGCATAGCCTATTATTTCCATTCGATAAAAGTCAAATTATCATTACATCGAACAGTGGTGGCTTGTCCTAAGGAGCCAAAGGGCCTCGGCACTTGCGCAAAATTTGTAAATATTTCGATCTCTAAAAATATTTCTTTTTATATTAATTACAATTGTCAGATCAAATTATGGCTAAACAATACATTATATAAATTATTTATTATTATTTAATTTGATCCCGTTAAAAAAAACTTGCGCAGTATTATTCCTAGACGCAACAAAATTAATAATTCAAGTAATAGACTATCCACCGTCTATCCGAGCACATCGACCAGTGGCTCGCTCGCTCTATGTTCTCTATGTTTTAAGCGGCTCGGAATGAATACTTAGAATAGTATTGTTTCAATCGCGTTTTCGGCGAGTTCGGCGTATTGCTTTTGACATTTAATTCGTGCAGAATTTTTGTTTGTTAGATAGTTAGTTAGAACAGTTGAGTTTTTAAAGTATTTTAAATTAAAAATCGTCCGAGAGTCCGAAGCAAAATGAATAAAATAAGCAATCTGTTACTAGAACCTTTTTCTACGTACTCGCTCGAGCAAACAATCCAACTAAAGGAACTTGGGGGACCTCTTCCCGATTTGGAAATAACAAAAACGCATAAGGCTTCCACCTCTAGTTCGTCAAACTTCAAAGGCCGATTAAAAAATTTTAACCGGAATTTGTACTTAAAAAATAACTGGATTTGTGGATGTGATGAAAAAACGCGTGATTCTTCGTGGACGATGCATGGTGTAACTGATTTGGTACATATTTATGAGAAAATTAAAATACATGAAAACAGTAAGGCCCAAAAAAATAATATTTTTAAATATTCTTTGCTTGGAAAATAAAATACACTGACTCGATTAAATTCGACTTATAGACAAAATATTATTACCCACAATAAACAAGTTGATAAAAACAGATATATTTTAAACATATTTATTAACTGTATTAGATTTTGTGGTGCATTAGAATTAGCATTGCATGGACCGAAGAATCCAAAAACAAAGGAGTGTTCCGTGAATTCATAGATTTTAGTTCTGAATTAGATGCGGATTTAAAGAACATTTCAACAAAGCAACAGTATTTAAAGGGATCTCTAAAACCCTACAGACCGAACTATTGGACTGTATGCTTGGCGTTTATCATGAAGAAGTGGCTAAAAAAACAAAAAAAAAAAACGAATTATGTAGCTGTAATTGCTGACGAAATTACCGATGTTGCTAACGAATTTCAATTGGTCATTATTCTACGATACATTGCCTCCAGAAAGCAAGTAGAAATATTTTGGAAATTTGTAAATCCTCCCGGACACAATGCCATTTCAATAGCAAATTGCATTTTAAGATGAAACCGGACCTCCCACGAAAGCAAAAATGTTTTAAGGATTTTGTAATATAAAATTGTAGTTATATGCGTGCCACAGGGAATACTTCGTGATATTATATGCCTTGACAATATTTAGAGCTTTAAATTTGTATAATGATACGGCAGCACTCTACAGAGACGTTTAAGAAAAAAAGGTGGGAAAGCATATCATTTAAAAACTACTAGATATTTATTAAAAAAAAAGCAGCAAATTTTCATAAATTTAATACAGAATAGCGCGGAAATGTTTTTTTTTTTTTTAATTTCTTTTTAAAGTTTTCAAAATAAACACTTTTCAAAGGTTTACAAAAAATTCAAAGTTTCTCCCCCTAAGTTTTGTTATTGTTGGTATTTCCTGAAAATTTTACAAAAATCGGACTAAAAATAAAGGCTCAGAATGAATTATAAATTTTCAAGGTGTTCGGTTTGCTCTTAAATGAAATTAATCCATTAATTAATGACACATCAAAAAGTTGATCGCGCAGAGTAACGACGGAGCATCAGTCATGAGCGGAGGTATGAATGTGGTACAAAAAATAATTAAAGATAAATATTTTTTAGCAAATTATATTCATTGCTATGCACATCAGATTAACCTTACAATAAGCAGTGCAGGTTCAATTAATGCGTCTGTTTGGATTTTTTTCGCTCATTTAACTAAAATTTGTGCTTTTTTTTCTACATCACCTCAAAGAACAAAAGTATTGGATGATATAGTTCATAGACGATTACCACGCTCATCACAAACGAGATCCGAAATAAACTGATACACGTTATGGATATTTTATAGAACGACAAAGATATTAAATTAAATTCTACGATTGAGCAAGCCGGTGCTTATAAACTTAGATTACAGGACAGAGATTTGATATTTTGGTTGTTTTTCATAAAGTCATGCCACATGTCGAAATAATTTTTAAGCAACTGCACTTGATTAATACCGACCCTATCAAGGCTAAACAAGATCTTAAAAACTTTGATAATGCAATGCAAAAAATTCATAATGAAATGGATAAAATTATTGACAAAATAGACTTGGAGCTTTTAGAAACTGAAGATAAACTTGTTCCTCAGAAAAGGCGACGTTACCCTCGTTCCGATCTATCTGTTTCAACAAATAAGAAAATAAAAGCCTTGGAAGTTTGCGATTCCATTATACAACAGATTAGGACACGATTCACTTTCACAGGACATCTGATAGCTACCGCATTATTCACGAAGGAACATTTTATCGAATACCAAAAACGTTTCCGAATCAATTGCTCTCTGATACAGTTAACTGGTGGATATAATTGGTAAATATAAAGAAAAATGTTCAAATCTGAACACATATCAATAAAAAGAAATCGTCTAAAAACAGAAATGCAAGTACTTTACGAAAGAGAGGAGTTAGTTGCAAACCATTTCTGGAGCCATTCCTTTGTTATCATTAGTTTCGCAGGAAGATATGAAGTACACTTTTCAATAAAATATTAAATTACTGGAAGTTTTAGTGACACCTATATCAACATCCGAAGCTGAAAGATGTTTCTCTATGTTAAAGAGGTAAAAACATTTTTAGGCAACTCAATTAAGCTGAAAAAGTGTTTCTAAATAACATTGACGACTTTAATAGACGAGTGATTGACATTTTCGCTAATAAAACAGAACGAAGACTAGACTTCAAATATCTTTCAATGTAAAATATTCTTTATTTTACTGTATTGATTTGGAGTGCAATAAATTACTATTCAAAGCTAAATTCTGGTAAGTTTTTTTATGTTATTTATTATTTTGAAAAAATGATAAACGCGCATGTTAATATACTTTAAAATATTACCCAAAATATGCTTTTTAACGACTTCGACTTAAAATCTGGGCTAGGCACCCGAAAATGCTAATCCGTGGCTCCAGGGCCGACTAGAGGGGGGGGGGGTAGCCGGGACTAATTCCCGGGGCCCGGACTCAAATGGGGGCCCGGCAATTGAAAAGTGGAAGTTTTTGGTTGGGGAGGTTTTTTTTAGAAAACTCAATTTAGCGGAGGAAAAGTTTTTTGCTTGAGGAGCTTTTTTTTTAGAAAATTCAAGTAGAAGAGGAAAAGGTTTTGTTTGAAGAGCTTTTTTTGTCACGGGGCCCGATCTAGAGAATTGTCCTGGGGCCCGGCCTGGCTCTCGGCGGCCCTGCGTGGCTCCACCTATGTGTTAAGGTACGAGCCGCCACTGACATCGACAAGAACACATTCTTAAATATGAAAGCTTATTTTATAAGTAATTCAATGTAACACATAACGTTATAGTAGGAGAACTGGTAGACATTTTTGAGTAAGTATTTGAGGCAAGCTGAAAACTTGTCCTATACCTATCCTATAATAGCCTAATACATAACTGCAGACCTGGCTGGGGAGTAGTGGGGCTAAATCAACCCTTATATTCTCAAAGTGAGGATTTTTTTTTGCAAAACATATCCTTGAGGCAATCTAAAATTTGTATTACAAAACATCTTTGAGGCAATCTGAAATTTGTATACCTTTAAATTGAATATTTAAAGATTAAAAATTAAAAAATTGAAAAATTATATTTGAGGCAAGTGGAAATTTTAACAGAATATTATTTATAATTAAAAAAACATATTGTAAAAAAGACAGATCATTTCGGTGGTACATTCTGTCCACCAGGTGATCGAGAAAGTTGTGTAAGCGTGTGAATGATTCATGCTATACGTAATGTAATGTGAGCCATTTCATTATTCAGTCTTGCTCTAATACTCCAAGTCCCTCTCTGTATTATTTGGCCTTTGACGCTCAACTTTTTTGATTATTATACATAATTAAACCCCTTAAGACCAAACCTATGTGACGACTATGGTGGACACACTTTCGCGAACATTCCAGAATCAACGAGATACTATTTCTAGTCTAAATATAACGTGATAACGTTTGTGGTACATTCTGGTAATTTTGGTGGAGGAACATTTTAGACCACCAATTTGTATATAAATATTGGTGGATGAGCCATCAGAATCAGTTGTTATATGGACAGTGAAGATAAATAGTAATTAGTAGATAGACAGTGGTGAATATAAATAGTAATCAGTCTAAAGACATTCGAAGTATATATAAATTAGAATAGTTGTGTTATAAAATAAATAAGTGTTTAAATAAATTATTAATAAATAAACTGTTGTTTTAAAGTAAACAAACATCACAGTAAGTTGCAGTGTAAAAGAGAGCGTTTATCGATAGCTGTCTTCGTCCTCGAACGCCGTAATGTCGTTGGTCCGGGCAAGACCACGTGACTTACTATACCCATATACGAGCGCTATTTGTGTTGTTTACAGTGGCTTAAAAGATTCATCTCAGCCAAAGAGTGGAATTAAATCGTGAACATTTTCGTGCTAATATTTTTTTACAACCTTCGACGTGGATTAACTCAGCAACAGTGCATCGATGAATTCGACTAGTGCTTAATCCACGTCGAAAGTTGTAAAAAAATAATAGCACGAAAATGTTCA